GGGGGCGGAGCGCTCGGGACAAGGCGGCCCCGTCAGTGCGGACCTGCAGCCCCAGGTGAGCACGCCCGCTGGGCACACGCTGGCAGCTCTCCCGGCATTAGCTTGCCCGGCTCGGAGGGCCCTCCCTTCAGTCAGGAGCCAGGTGGCTGCCCTGGAGAGAGGGGGCTGCACTTCTGTCCTGGGCATGAGAACTGCCCCCAGGAGACGGGACGTGGAAGATGCTGGATTGCTGCCTGCAGTGTGTCACTGACCCCTTGGGGACATTGGTCTGGTGATTGTGGTCAGCTGCCATTACCCCTCCAGGAATGCATCTTCCATAATTGGAGGCAGGGTGGAAACCGTGGGCCTGTCTCTTCCTATCTGCACCACTTTTTAAGGAAAACCCTCCGACTCGCGGTTGTCAGGGAGAGTCCCACACGCGACCCCCTTCGCGGAGCCTTCATGGCACCTCTCTTTGTCAGGAGCGAGGGAAGGGAAGAGCACGAGGCATAGACTGTGTGCCGGGTGACGAGCCAGGCTGCCATCACGCGTCCCATGTGCACTGGGGCCCGTAGCCCCGGAGGCCTGTGCCCGCTGCACGTCCCCAGGGCCCTCCCCGGGGTGCTGTGGCTGCCAGGAGCCTCAGGCGAGCAGGGCAGTGCCTCCCCTGCAGGCTGGCGTGCCCTGAGCTGGCTGGGGCGGTGGGAAGCGGGTGGGGACGTGCAGGCAGGGAAAGCTGCCCGGAACCACAGGGTGGGCCTCGACAGTCTAGGCTGGGATGGGGGGCGGGCGCAGGGCAGTGCCGGGGTCCTCGTCCAGCTGGGATTTTCAGACTCTGCCTGCTGTGCCTGCTCAGAGTGCCGTGCTCAGGGGGGCCTGGTGGAGGACGAGGACGGGTCGGAGAGGAAGGGAAGTCTTTGTCCCCCTTTAACTTCCTGAGAGGACCTCTCCTTGCCCTGACGCCCTGCGCCCCCTTCACGGCTAGTCTCGCCCGCCCTTCGTAACCAGCGCCTGGGTCTCGTGTTCGGGTGACCTGGAAGTCCTCAGGAGGCTTCAGTTGCGTGAGGCCGGGCTCCCTTGCTCAGCCGCTCACAGGGAGCTCTCTCCCCGCAGACGGCAGCCTGGGAAGCTTTCAGTCCTCCCCGAGTCGGCCTGGCCTGGTACGGTTCTGTGCCTGTTCCCATCAGGGACCGCACGGTGCCAGCAGGAAAGGCAGGGGCACCAGCAGCCCAAACTGTCCCCCAGGTTTGTCTGGTCACGGCCTTCCTTGCACACCGAGAGCCAAACACCTACATTCCTCGCAGCTCGGGGGAGGAAGCCCATCCTCGCGCAGGAGAGGTCTTGAAGGCCAGCAGGTGGTGTGGAGGCTCCCGCATGGCCGGCTGCGCTTCAAGTACGGGCAGCTTGAAAATCCCTCCAGGTGGCACGCATGCCCAGAATCTCGAGAGGAGACTAGAGGCAGGACTGTGGCGTGGCCGTCCCCCTGCCCAGGGGTAATTTCAAACTTTCTCTCTCTGTCTCTCTGGCGAGTGCATGCTCCCTACAGCAAAAACAAAACAAAGACAGGAAAAAAACGGTCCAAGCACTGCTGCTCCCCCAGCGCGGGCTGTTGGGGTCACAGCCCACACGGCCAGCTCTCGGCCTGGTTTACAAGAGCTCCACGCGGCGCTGTCTGTGCTCCGGCACCAGGAGGTACGTCGTACATCTCAATGGGCGCACGGACAGTGTGTCTGTATTCCTCAACCACCAGTTGATAGATCAGTTTCGTTTTTGCTTAAAGCCAGTCCCCGGAAGAGCTGCAGCCTGCTCCCCTAACCCTCTGGGAAGGGCTCTCCACCGGGCAGGGGCAGGTGCAGGGGCAGGGGCAGGGGCAGGGGCAGGGTGCTGGCCTCCCTGGGTGGGGTGGGAGGTGGCATAAACAACACAGCTGAGACCACTAGCACGACAGAGTGAGAGGATCCAGGCCTTCCTGCCAGCCTACCTGCCTGCGCACCCTGTGCTGGGTGCCGTGGGGGAGGGGGCCGGAGCCCACCGCCCACCCCAGTTCCCTCCCCACGGCCTGCTTCCTGGCCCATTGCCCCATACCCTGGTGCTGGTCACCTCTGCACCCCGGACCCACCAGCCCAGCCCCAGAGGGCTTCTGGGTGTGCCCTGCTGCAGCCCGTGGGTCACGGCCCAGCCAGGAAAGGACCTGGGCCTGCCCAGGAGAGCCTGCAGGTCCTGGGGGCTCGGGGCATGGTGTGGGTGTGGGTGTGGTGACACTGGCCCAGAGCACTGATCTGAGCTGAGGACTGGGGTCACAGCCAGCCCAGGATGCAAGTGACCTCACTTTGAGGGCCCGGACCACATCGAGCCTCTGGTCTAGGGCCTCGGAACAGGGGCCATGACCCCAGAGGAAGGGGACCAGGCCCCACTGGAGGGAGCTCAGGGAGAGGGTTCGACCAGAGAGGGGCAGCCAGACTGGGGGAGAGTCAGACCCCTGAGCCGTCTCAGGAGGCTCCCGACAGAGTCCCGCAGTAAAAGGTCCATTTCCCATAGGACCCAGGAACACGCCGGGCCTGGCTGCAGCTGATCTGCGCTGCTAGACCGAGCTGCGCCTGCTGGTTCCGGTCCACAGGGGACTGTGACAGCACTGGGTAGAGACGGCGAGACACGTTCAGGCCGTGGATCAGGCAGAAAGATGCCTGCCCTGTGCTCCTCAGGGCTCACCCGAGGACCCCGAGCGCCCTGGGAGGGACTCACCTGAGGTGGTTCTCAGTCTGCACACTCTGGGGTCTGAGCGCTCCGCCCCTGACGCGGGCCACAGCCTTGGGTCTCTGTCCTGTGTAGTAAGGCGAGTCTGGGGGGTCGATGCGCAGGTGGCAATGTCACCGTCGGGGCCTGGAAGGGCACACATGGGGTGAGGTGCGGAGAGCCCCCCTCCCAGAGCCTCCTCTGCAGGGGTGAGCTGAGCCGGCCACAGCTGTCTCTCCAGCGCAGAACGCATGACTGAGGCAGACTGAAAGGTCACTTCACCCCTCGTCGCCCACCCTCTGACGTCCCTCTGTGCTGGGCACAGAGAGCTGACTGAGTCTCGATGCCGGTTATACCAGACACTTCCTGTGGCTGCCTGAGGCCCTGGGAGTCCGTCCCAGTTCCGACCCATGGTCCCCGCGTAGACACCATGCGGGACACGGACCTCCCTCCTCTTCCTGGTCTCGACCCCTAAGAAGACACCCGATGTGGCGCGTCCTGGTGAGGGCACACTGGCCCCCCTGGGTGGTAGCAGCAGGGGCACTTGGTGCTGTCTCGGGTCTCTGAAGACGGTCAGGGAGAGATCCCTGAAACAGAGCAGGTCAGACCCGAGCTCTCCCGCCCCATGTTGGGTCCCCTGTGCAGCAGCCTGGTGGGTCGTCACGAGCCCTCGCTTACCTGTGCTGACTGCACCTGAGGACGGTAGCCTGCAGTGACGCCTCCTCCCTGTGGGAGGGCTGCTGGCCCAGGTAGGGAAGGTCCCTCTGGGGCTTTCTGGAACTGAGCTCCAGCCTCAGGGTGCTCCCCCAGGACTGAGGTGAGCGGTGCAGAGTTGGGGCATCCTGGGAAGAGCTGATTAGGAAGGAGATGAGTTGTGGGGAGAGTCCGCCAGCCCCAGCCCCGCTGTGCTCTGCTATCTGGGTCCTGGCCCTGCCCTGCCCTGTCTGGGTCCCAGCCCTGTCCTGCTCTCTCTGGGTCCCAGTTCTGCTGTCCGGCAGGCACCAGCCCCACAGGGAGGGGTTCCTCTGAGCAGGTTTTGGTTTCTATTCCTGGAAGTTACTCTGTTTCCAGGAGCAGCCCCCAGTGCTCCTTGTCTGGAAGAGCTGGCTGCCCTGAGGCTGAGTTTGGAGGGCCTTCACGGGCCTTCAGGAGGGCAGCCCTCTGCAGACTGCCCTGGGCCCAAGATAACTCAGGGCGGGGACAGGGTGTCCTGGGCCGTGTTGCTCCCTGCTGGGCTCGTGTCCTTGGCAGTGGCCCAGCTCTGCAGGACAGGAACTTTTTGTCCCCTGGAGCCCAGGGCCCTCAGATGGTTGCTAACACCATGACATTTTCCCTGGGCCGCCCCTTCCTGTGACCGTGGCCTCATGATCCCACTCAGCTCAGCAGAAATCCCCTGCCCCAGCCCTCTGCCCAAGGTGCAAGTACTCCAGGACTCCCTGTTTCCTGCTCCAAGAGCCCCGAGTTCAAGACTCAGCTCTTCTCCCCATAAGACTAGAGCTGTGGCCCTGGGTGTGACACCTCATTCAGAGAGTGCCCGGGACCAGTGAGGCCACTTGGCCTGTGGCCCAATGGCAAGGACAGAGGCATGGCCACCAAGGCACGGCCAGGACAAAGCCAGTGTGATACCCCAAGTGTGACCGGTGGGCAACCCGCTATCGGCCACCTCCTTCCTGGGCCTGGACACCCCCACCACACGGTTACTCTGGCCTCAGGGCTCCTCTGTGGCTGGACCCTGTCCCACCAGGGCCACCCATGTCCAAGCATCGGCCCCATGGGCAGTCACGCAGCCCCTGAGAAGCAAGCTACAGGGACGAGGTGGGCTCCAACATTTCTGCAGAGAAACGCTTTCTCCTCATTCACTCACACATGGGACACTCGCTCGCAGCCCTTGTCCTGGCCCGGAGCCACCCCTGAGTCACGGCTACGTGACCTCCAGGCCTCATCAGGGCCTGCCTCCCTGGCCCCAAGTGCCTCTGGGCCCTCCCCGACTCTGACTCCCCGACTCCCGAAGTCTCTCTGCGTTCACTCCCTTTCCCGGAAAGTCTGGTGCTGTCTGGAAAGGACCAGCGTTGGTGGCTTGCACTGTCACTGATTGCAGTTGACAGCTGGTCCCTGGCGGCCGGGCAGAGCCACTGTCTGAAGTGCCCTGTGCTGCCTTGCACACCGTGGTGGCGCCTGGCCAGAGAACAGCTCCCCTGCCCTGCCATCCGGGCGACCGAGGGCCACATGTGCTCCTCTTCCCAGACGGGGAGGGCGGGCTGAGCGAGGCACTTCTGGCCAGCAGATCCTGGTCCAGTGGAAACCGAGTTCTGTGCCGCCACTCCCCACGCTGTGGCCGGGGCGGCGCTCTCCGCGC